ATGTACCGTATATTGGGGGACACGTCATGTGCTACTTACGACGACGGTTCACGCGCAGTTTGAGCGGATCTCGTGTTACGGTGTAAGGAGTGGTGCAGTCTTACGCACTGCAGCTTCTTTGCATCGCGCAAAGGGCCCCAAAACTGTATGTACGACTCTCGGCCCGCCTCCGCGGCCCCCCCAAAAAACGCTCATGACTAGTTGTGCTAGATAAAGTTCCTACCCATTTATTGCACCCTTGTCGGAGAACCGTATGAATGTGTGACGGTTGTTGAGCCACAGATGTTGCGTTGTGGGTGATGGACCTCGTGTCAAACAAATGTTGCAAGAACGTCTCCCCAGCACTTGTTTTTCTGTGCCCGTCCCATCTTTTCTGGCGCCAGCCGATGCACCTCTCGGTGTACATGTTTAGCTAATCAACCGGGGTCACACACAACTCTTCTTTGCCCTTTTCGTTATTGTTTCTCCACCCCGATTTTCTTTGTTTCGTGCTGCAAAGCAGGCGTACTCAGAAGCGGTTTACCGAGCGGCCAGGATGCCTACCAAGGCCCTGTTCGAGGAGTGCATGGAGCCGGTCAAGAAGGACTTCCCGGCCAACTACGGCATCCTCATGCAGAACGACCTCAAGAAATGGACACACCATGCCACCCCCAGCAACCTCGTCAACTTGGAGATGTCCACCTCCAACTCTGCGGAGTCCACCATTAACGCGGTCGGCCACCAGGTTGGTGAACGAAATGGGTGGACGTGTTTTAGAAGACTTTGCAGGTCCGAATTGACGCACTATGCCATTCAAGAGGAACATTTCGCGTTGGTTCTAAATGATGGTCTCGCAGGTTGGGCTCCCGCTCAGCGTCAAGCGGCAGATGTCGGTTCCCGTGTGGGCCTACACAGGAGCCAGCGTTTTGTGAAGCCCCCGACAGTCGACCACTGTAGTTCCGAGTTTTCTCTCTTGGCATTCCCATCGCTTTTTCTCATGTATGCATGTAGTCTTGTGTCGTGATGTTGGTGGTAATCGAAGGTATTTAGACTTGGGACGTTTGTCTCCCTCTCTGACTGCCGTCGTGTGCATTCACCTACCGGTTCCTTGGTGTGGGAGTACAAAGCCATATCACAGACTGGTGTAGAGTCCGTGTGGCTGTCGGAACCTGAGCTTCTCCGCACGTTCACACGCTTGCAGTTGGACGGGTTCATTGCACTATGGCATCTGTACTATCCTGAATTGGCGTCTCAACTTACCCCACGCTCCCTACCGCGTGCACCGTTGTCCCCCCATGAAGCCCTGCGAATCTACCCAATAGGTTTCACTTTCCAGAACGGTCGAGGGCAAAAGCTCCAAGGACAAGTGTTTGGTTACCGAGACCGCTACTGGCGTGTGCGTTACAGTAACCAGAACTGGGAGGAGTTGACGCGTCAGGAGCTGGAACGTTGTCTTCACTGAAGATCGTCGTCACCGCACCAGTGGCTGCTGATTCGTGCATGTTGGGGTGGGGGGACATTTACCCGTGTATCGTGTGGATTCTTTTGTGTCGTGATGTCAAGTTGGGGGGAAGCCATCGCCTTGTGGGTTTGTTGGGATAGTGGAAACTGTGGGGCCTTGGCATATGCGGTGCTGTCGGAGGAGTAGGTTTCTTGAGGCTCAGTCGTGGTGAATGGGTTTACTTGCGGAGGGTATGTATTTGTTCCTACTCGGTAGGCGGTACCGAGTCGATGGTGGATTGGTGTGTTCATTGTATGCAAGCGGGCATGCGTGGACTGGTAGGTCCTGGAGGACTTGGTCGCAATCGCTGTTATGATTGTGATAACGCTTGTAGCCAGTGGCGGTATGTCGGTCTATTCCACTGGCATGGAGATCGCTCTCCATGCCAACGAACTTCACGAGAGGGTTTGTCGAAAGTTTGTCCCTCAGAGAAAAGAGAGAGACGAGATGGCGGCGTGAAGTATCGGGTGGATAGTTCCCTTTCGAGGCATATCGGTTGATGGAGAATCCTGCGGTTCTGCCATTGCATTGGTTACAAGTACAGGATGAGGCGTTAGTATATTATGAGTTGATAATATACTAGGGGGGATGTTACGGTTCGAGACATTCATTGTCCCGCAAGTACACCCCCACAGAGGTAGTTGGCCGCATTCTGCGGAGCCTCTGCAAGAGCTGTCTGGACTCGCCCTCCTCTGCTCACAACCAAGCTACCATCCTGAGCTTGAACTTAAAGAATAAGACCATAACATCCACAAGGAGGCCTTTGCTCCGACGCTACATCGGCTACTACAGCTGATGATACGAGTATCTTCACTTCTCATCGTACTCGGTACAGTCGTTCGATTGCACAAGAAGAGGTCAGTGTGTGTGCATCGTTGCATGAGCGAACACCTGTCAGGAGCAATAATCCCCTTCCTCGCACCATAAACTAAACCGTGCCGTGAACGGGAGCTGTACGTACTTACTGCTTACACACTTTGACCTCTACCCTGCGTGCTAGCGACTCGTGACATATACTGCATGTATGTAGTCAAACACACGTGCGCGCCGAGTCCATCGAGTGGACTTCATTGGTTTACATCCAGGCGAAACTGGCTGGACTGAACGCCCATCTCGATAAAACTGAATTAGATTTGCTTCCGAGCGTCTGATTGTTTTTTCAAACACCAGGACCGATGGCGTACCCCGAGACTCTGCCGACGAAGATACTGGGATCATCGGACAACTACAGCACGCCTCCGAGCGAGGAGGAAGGAGCAGCGCTTGGAACACAGAGGCACACAGTTTCTATGCGTCTTGTGGTGCTCACATCGTGTCAACAAAAATCTCCTCGAGATCTTCGATGCACCCAACAGACATAATCCACGTGCAACACTCACGGTACCCCGTCATGTGCACATTCTCTTTTGCATGTACAGGACTTCGAATCGCCAAGGGAGCCGAAAAAGGCATCCGCTCCACGCAGCCCGCTATCGCCATCATCGCTCAACACGGGCAGAGCACCTTCCGGAGCACGGGTGAGAAGGATCAACGCTGATATCCACCGTCATACACAACTGCAGTTACAATAGTGTTCCTCGTTTTGTCTCACTACCGTGGATATAATCAGACATGAATATTCCGTGAAACCACGTTTTGGCTCTTGGGAAAGCCTACTTAGCGAAGATGATGGTTTAGAGCATGCAGCAGATTCAAGCGCCGATGAACGAATTCGCTAACACGAGCAGTAACGCCTCCATTGGTTTCGATCTCCCACGCAGTGATCGCGGACACCCCCCCCCCCTGTTTCACTCACACACACACCCTCCCGTCCGACACGACCTTACGATGACCATCGCTCACAGCTTCAACGAGTCTTATATTGGAGGTCAGTAGGTGTTGCCTACATGATAACGTGAAGCTCGGTACATGCAATCTTTATCGTTCAACTGTTTGGTGACTGATCTGTTTCACTCTCTCATGATCAGGAGAATTATGCCCACCGTACACCCGCGGAATCTTCCGGCAAGAGGAAGAGAGAGCCCAGCTTCGGCGGCAAGAGCGACAAAGGAGGAGTAGGAGACCCGATGGTAAGAGGGGTAGCCGGTATGCTTGTACTGGTTGGAAATTCCCAGAATACACTAACAACGTTCCCTCCCCGCTCAGATCGACAGACATTCTTTGCCTCCTCTGGATGACCTTACCTCTGACAGTTTCGTGTTCTTTATTCACTCGTGGCCGCGCCTGCGTATGTATGCATGCCTACCCACACGTTTCCTACAGGCGCGGACACAAACAACAGTGCCGACCAAGGTCAAGAACGGCCTGGCTTTCTTTCGGGGTGCGGTGAGCGTGCAGACGTTCAGCGAGGCGGAGCGTCGGCACATCGAGTCCCGCCTGACGTTCCAGCGAGCCTACGATAGCGTGGACATCCTATCTAACGGCAAGCCCGTCGACGGAGGGATAGGTCTGGAGAAGGCGCCTGTCCTCGCTTGCCTGATCGACAAGATGACCGACCTGGTTGGCGTGCCGCCTGACGGCGTGCACATGACGACACGGGAGGGCGGGCAGATACACATGTCCCATTCGGACAAGATGCAATTCGATGTGCGCAGCACTGTCCACCTTGGCAAGGACGTCCTCCTCGATGGGCAAGTCGACCCCGCGAAGTCTACCGGGGACTTCGTGCTCAGTGGCCGCGACCTGTCACAATCCCTTCTCCTTCAGATGCGGAGTGGTGATCCCTACATCGCCACGGATAACGTGCTCCATGCCCCCTACCTCCAAGGTATCAGGCCCCCCGGCCAAGCGAGTCTTTCGCTCGTTTCCGCATGGCGTCGCGTCTTCCATCCCTTCCGGCCCAAGTTCCGCCCTCTGGCAGAGACCTTCTCCTTGCTCTGTGGAGTGGACGCCGTTGACGGTGAGGAAGCCTTTCGGGTCACGAGTAGTGAACTTGTTCCGCCCACGAGAGTCGGGGAACGGATCCGGCAGCCGGGGGACTTCACGGACGGCGTATCGCTGTTCCGGCCACCCCCCGAGGCGCAAGCGTCCGCCTACCACAAGCTCGGCAAGCGGAACAAGGGCAAGAAAGGCAGCCCGAACGGAGGTATGGTTGTTCTTGATTACACTCGATCAAGTAGAGTACCGAAGCGGATTACAGTGCCGAAGTTCCTGTCGTGAAGTCCCCCGGCTGCCGGATCCGTTCCCCGACTCTCGTCGGCGGAACAAGTTCACTAGTCGTGACCCGAAAGGCTTCCTCACGGAGCCACCGCCGTTGCTCAGAGAATGCAACGAAGTTGTTGCACCCAACATTGGGGCACTTGAAGTACTTCATGTTGTCCTCCACCGACTCCGGGCGAAGGTGGAGCACGTGGGTGAGGGTGATCTTCCGGCATTCACCTGCACCTCCGCGGGCGTGTTTGCTCGAAATCTCGTAGCCTCGCGCTCTGCCTGTGTAGGCTCAACAACAACACAGCGTGCGCGCGGCGAGACATCCAAGAGAGACCACATGTCGGGATGCGGGCCCGAGATCCAAGCAACTATCGTATCATGAAAGGCGGGAGCGGGTTGGAATAGAACGTTCGACGAGACATCCAGGAGCGAACACATGTCGGGATACGAGCCTAATCGTCAGCGGCTACTTTTCGACCATTGGGCCGTCCACCACAAAGGGGGGTTGTTCTACTTGTAGAGACGCTTCAAAAGCGCGGACTTTGTTGCAACAACAGGCGGGGGAGTTATTTCAATCTACTCAATTTGTTCGGTTTTTTCCTTTGCTTCTTGTCCGAGGTTTTGCCTGCAACGAACACAACGGGCGGGGGGAATAGGCTCAATCCAACCATGCACCAGTTGCTCGCTCCTAAGGCATCGCGTTCTGTTCGATCGACTGTCGAATTTTCATTCCAAACGTCAAATAGCACGCTTTCTTTGGCGGAAATAACAACATAAGCAACATAACAAAACATAAACATAAACGTACACGTAAACGTAAACGTCAACAACAACGACCACAGAAGTTGTTGATCGACAGCAGGTTTTTCTCTCACCCCCATCGGACCGATTCTTGGCGTTGTACCCGCAAGGCCCCCACAGCTTTGCAACCTCCTCCACCCCGGCGAGAACAGCAGCTAGAGGCTCCTCCTTCCTCAGGTCTTCGATAATCTGCGCCATCTTCTGAATCTTCTTCGCGTCCAAGCCCCCGCGGTACTCGGCCGGCTCGTTCCTGGCAGTCACGAGGGCCTCCACTAAATCCAGCACGGACTTCTTCCGGTCCGCGTCGGTGTAGCCCGCCAGGAGACCCCGCAGGTCCAGCTCACCCTTCTTCCATGCCAGTGCTCGCTCTCCGGCTGCCTTCAGTGCCTCACGTCCCTCGACGATGCTGAGAAGGGTATCCGTGTCGCCCGGCGCCAGAGAGAGGTGCTTCGACACGACGGACAACACCGTCATCCTCCCCGCAATCGCCGCCTCCAACGTTACTACGGGCATGCCATCGCGCCCACTGTGCGTGTTCTTGTCGAAGTTACCGAATTTATGGACAAGAAGAACCTCCGCACCCGTGAACGTTCCGGCGGTTTTCTCGTACGCGACGAGAACGGTCGACTGCATGGCCTCCGGCAGCGTCCAGCTGTAGTCGCGGAGGAGAGAATAGTGTCTGTTGCCCTTGGCGTCGATGTGGGCCTCGCAGCCACCGTCGTTGACGTTCTTCTCGAATACGCCGGTGCCGGAGTTCGAGAGCTTGATGGTAGTCTGACTCGCACGTAACACTTTCGCGGTCTTCGTTGGCTCCGCGACGCGCTCGTGGAAGTTTGACTCCCCGTTGTTACACTCACCTATGGTTGCCTCCAGCACCCTCGTATCCTCCCCTTCGTCGAGGTTGATGCTCTTCTGGCCACCGAGCTGCTCGCAGCTGTTCTTCTGGCCCCGGAGACCTTGGGCCGCTCGAAGGGTCGCAGGCAATCCGACCGACATCCCGCTCGTCGAAGCCAGCATCTGGATATGCCGACCGGCGGCCTGGCGGCCTCCCGTCGAAGCTTGAGGGCAATATTCTCGGGGAAGGCGGAGCCCCGTTCGTATGGCGCCCTGTAGAGAGGCTTGCCCGTAGACCGGCCGATAAACCCGCGAGGGTCCTGCTGGATGTAGGATACAGACGAGAGTTTTCGAAATTAGGGAGAGAAGCGAGATGATGAGGGTATGGGGTGGATGCACGAGGCAACACAAGCAAGTACAACGTGGTAGTCACACACCGTCTCCCTGAGTCACGAGGATGAGGTGTGAAAACAGAAGGTAAGACACCAACCACTGGTGCACACATATACACATAGGCTGAGAACACCCCAAACACAATCGTTGTTCGGGTTATGCAGTCGATATCCGGTTAAAACGTGCCATAGAATACCCACTATCATCGTTCCAGAGGACGCCGGAGCACGAGTGACAGTGAGCGGGGGGGGGGGGGGGG